ATTTCGAATTTACATCATTTTTGCAAGACAGGCTGTTTTCAGGAAAATCAGAGTTGCGCAGCGAAAGCCTTTTAAAAAATTATTTGCTGTTTTTATTTTTTTTAAAGTCAGCTTTCTAGGCAAGATTTTATAGTTGGTGATATGAAACAGTTTTTACTGAACAAGAATTTTTCTCGTTAACAATTCAACTCTAATCTGCTTAGCAGACGACTCCCTTGGACGCGTACAGGGGAGGGTGTCACACTAAATGACCCATGTATAAAGCATAAGAGATAGATGATCAGAATTATCATTGTGCAATTATAAAAATAAAAGAACATACTTACTTGTTAGATAGTTGAGACAAAATGATGAAACAGATGATGATATCAGAGGAATAAAATATGCAGAATCAGAGGAAAAAAACCGAGCCCACAGAATGTGTCTCCTTAAGACAATTTTCCCTCTCACTGTTGCCAAAGGTTGATGGACACTTGTCTCCCAGGATAGAACGAATTTCGTCTGAAGAATGGCGACACTACCAGTCAACAGTCCAAACGAAAACAACAATATGCCAGAGGGATCACACCAGAGGATGAACAGAAATATGCAAACCGGAAGGAAGAAAAATTTAGGCAGAGTTTTAGTGCAGAAAAAATCGACAAATTTCTGAAGTGTCAGTGTCTATTTATAGACACTGACCGGTCACGATGAACCGCAGTCGACGACGAACCGCCATGTCTGACGGCCGCGAACGGGTGCAACCGGTGACCGTTTCGGCGAACAGGTACAACCAGTGACTGACTCAGTGAGCAGACACAACCAGTGACCGGTTCACGAAAGGAAAGAACCGGTTCGGTTCAAAATTGCTAAAAAAACTGGCGAGTGAAAACGTTTGAATTTGAAAATTGGAGGGAAGCAACAGATACTTTTTTGGACAAAAATTTAAAAATTATTTATTAAAAAATTATTTTTATTACACCGAATCGAACCGATCCGAGTCGGCCAGACGGCAGCGCGCGTATGTGTGTGGTGGACCAAAGCCCACCTAGCTCCTCCCCCTCCACAAAATGTGTAGTGACCCAAGGGCCAATCTAGGAACCGAACCGATCCAGACGGCGGCGGCGACGCGCGTGTGTGTGTGTGTGGTGGACCAAAGCCCACCTAGGTCCTCCCCCTCCACAAAATATGTAGTGACCCAAGGGCCAATCTAGGAGAGTGATGTGGGAGCTTGTAAACTCTCTCACTTCCTACTAGTTGTCCAATGTGGGACTTGTTAACTCACACACCCCTTCAACTTTCCTTTTCTCTTTTCTTTATTAACTCACTTCTTATTCATAGCCAATGGATTATCAACATAAATTTTTCAACAGTTACCACTACTATTTTTGTTATTCGTGATGTTAATGTGTGGTCATTTTCCTATTACTATTATTGTTTAGTACCACCAAATGCCATTCCATTTTCAATTATCACCATCACTCTAGTAACTATTAATACTCAGTGGCGGACCCAGAAAAATCAATTCATGTCTGCACATTTAATGGCGGGGGCTGCCCCCAAATTTTTTTATTATTTAACTTTCACATAAAGGAGTTGACTTATCAATGCAGGAAAAAACATATAGGGTGAATAGCAATTCTAGGCGGATAGAAACATAAACTAGTAAAAAATGATGTATAAATTAAATATTACCAGTGAAGATATGTCCAATGATTGTTGAGTTGAGCGATTGAAGTGTGCAAACCCAGAAAATTAAGCCATCATATCTCTTCAGTTACTACCTGAAGAACAATATTTTGTCATAAGAATTACTGACATTTAGTCTCATCACAAAAAAGGTATTTAACATCTGAATTGCAAAATTAACAGTGACTAAACTCCATGAAAAGCTGGTACACTGAGATGGAGGAAAATGCAAAAATGTCCCAAAGTGGCCAAACCATCTAATTGAATTTATAAATGCGTTAAAAAACAAAAGAATATAAACAAGAAACATTTTATCTCTGAGGTTGAAACATTTTGTCTCTAAGGTTGATAGGATTCTTGGACAATTGGAACTGAAATACTATTTGAAACTTGTTCACTTTGAGATCTGGGTTTTGTATTTGTGGGTTTTAGACGTTTGAAATAAGATTGTATCCATGACAAATTTTAATTTATACTTAAATCAATTATACTCAGTATGTTAGTGAAACAATTACAACCTAAAAATCCAAAAATAAATATCAATTATACCGTTTGTTGCTATTAAAACAGTTATAACAAATAAATAAATATAGAAAGTTACCTTTCATTGACACCTGTCGAATTACTACGAACCTACAATTATTTCTGCTCTCAATATTTCAACATCATGATCCAATTTTTGCTTCCACTTCAAAAGTAAAGCTTTGGAGAATCAAACAAAGTTATCCTATATTACAATCAAACATAAACCAATTAGAGAATCAACAAAGAGATAAAGAAATATTAACTGTACAATTCAAAAAAATAAAGATTAAACTGTAACTCCTTACAAAGGGAATATGAACTAAGAAGTCTTTCTCTAATAAAGAAATATTAATTGTGCAATTCAAAAAAATAAATATTAACTTGATGTTCAAATTTTGGGAATTTGTTAATATAATTACCCATTGGAAAAAATTACAAGCAAACAAGAAAGGTCATATTCCGTTTTCTTGCTATCAAAAGAAGAATAATTTCTTTGTTTTATCAAAAAGAATAGTTACTTCGAAGTTCGAATAATCTTCCATACAACAAGATAAAATAACTAAATTTTTCCTTTATTTTCACGCTTGTGCATCAGGTTCTGTGGATGGGATAGTAACTATCAAATAAGATTTAAGTATAAATTTGCATCTTTGTTTTGTACCCCCAAAAAGATAAAAATAAAAAACATGTCATGGTTGTGTAATTGGTATGCTTCTTTTCTAGCTACTTTAAACCAATGATCTAATGCATTCTTATAGGAAGGAAAAAGCAAGAAGAATAGCATAATAGCGGGACCATGGGGAGGTAACGATGGGAGTAGCTGGGATGATGGTACCTTGTGTTAGAGAAATCACACTTGTTTATTTACACGGTAGGATTGTCGAAAAATGAAGAAGGCCAAAATATCAACTCTTATCACTTCGCTCAAGGCACAATTACATACTATTCTATGAGTGTACTATACTAAGAATGTATAACTGGTAAGATATAAATACTTGTACTACTGATTCTACAATGCTGAATGAAAATTAGATAAATGTATTATCAATCTACTAATTTAGGAAAGCAAGCAGGGCAACTAATTGTGTGTATTTGAATTTACATGTATGCAAATTCAAGCATATACCTCTGACATTCTAGGCACAGGGCAGTTAAGCACAACATCAAAGATTCAGAGTCGTGTCCATGTCTTTTTTTTTGAATCCACAGTTCATCCTTATCATCAAGATGAAGATATTGTACAAGAGAGAGAGAAGCAGTGTTTCCCTTGATCCACCGTGTTGTCTCAGTCAATCAAATTTGCAGCAGTAGAGAGAATGGAGAGGTAGCGTGTGGAGAAATTTGTTGCAAACTCTAACTTTTTTTTAAGATTTTTTTTTTAAATATTCATGTCTGCAAGTGCGGTCATGTGCGCCTACGTGGGTTCGCCCCTGAATATTACCACAAACATCACTTCTTATATCCAGTTCCTACAATGACTTCGAAATTCTAAAGTAATCAATAATTATTTGTTAAAATGATAAGAAATTCATTAGTCTCGAGTTGGAGCTTGCAAATGAAAAAAATGGTTTTTTATTTTATTTTTCAGTGAAGAAGTAAAAAAAATTAAAAATTAAGAATTAAAAATTAAAATATTATATACATATAAGAGTCTATATATAAATGTCCGAATGGATAAAAAGAGCGAAGAGGTTGAAAAATATTTCAGGTCTAAATTAAAATGAAAGATAGGCAATGTTGTACCTTGCAATTTGCATCATGGAGAAGATTCTTTGTAAGTAGAAACCCAACACATACTGCGCTGTCATCCCGAAAATAATCCAGCACAAAGACTCATCCACATGAGACTATAATTTCCTGTGTTTCAATACCTACATCAAATTTGGATATGAATATTTTAGACAGCCTCTCATTTTTTAAAAGTAACATTGCAACATTAGACACTTCAACTTAATATCTTCTTAATATAAATCATGACAGTGCCTTATTTAGATTTAAAAATTTCACGATGAGGATAATATATAAGGAATTTATAAAAAAAAATTCTAAATATCATTCTTCATTTTGAAGGTAATGGCATATGGTGCCAATATAAACTAAATATATTATTGGTTACGTCAAAAACTAATTAGGGAATGTTTTGGATGAATTTTTTTTTGGAAGCTGTTTTTTTACAATAAAAATATATTAATTTTATTTCATATGTGTTTATGGATGCAGTTTTTTTAAATAAAAATTAGGAAAAAAAACCCCAAAATAATGTCCTTCGATTTAAAATACTTTTTAAATATTGATAAATAACTTCAACTTTTTAAAAAGTTTTTTTTTTTAATTTTTTTAATATAAATGTGTTTGTTATTGTATAATTTTACTTGTATCTATTACTTTTTGTGCATTTAGATCCATTTCAATTTATAACTAGGTTATAAGAGGGGAGTGTGATTGTTAAAATTGTTGTGTATATGTAGATTAGAGTTTATAAACTTGATTTAGACTATTTTAATTTTGTAAATTTAATTTCGACGAAGAATAAGTTTCAAAGAAAGTTATTTATATTTAAAAACTTATATGTAAGGTTTGATTTTAATAAAATGAATCATTTTTGAATGGATAGTTACCAACATATATAAGTTTTATGAAAACATTCATTTGAAGTGAAAATATTTTAAAATAAATAAATTTAATTTTAAATTTTAGTAAATTAAAATTACGATTAAAATTAAATAAAATAAATTCAACGGTGACTTCTGATTGGTAGAAGAGTCATACAATAAAATAAAATAAAAACACAGGACCCAATTGGGTTACCAAGGGCCAGAGTAAGCAACAATATTATAAAGTGAGACACCATTGTTGTTTTGGCATCATCATTTGGTCCTTTCCATGGCTTCAGAGAAAGAAGCTGCTCTTGCAGCCACTCCCTCTGATGCTCCTACCATGTGAGTTTTTGATTCCACTCTTTTCCCTCCTCTTCTTTCTTCAGTTGCTTCTATAATCTCTGCACAATGTGATCCTGCATTGTTCTCTTTTTTTTTTTTTTTTTTTTTTTTTTGCGCTTAATATCTTCCGGTCTTGCAAATACTTTTTATGGGTAATCTGTTATATGTTCTGATTTCCTCGGTCAGTTTGAAAAACCCTGAAAAGCTTGCATTTTTATGTAGTTAGGCTTTATTTTTATTTTTTTGTTTCCCCATAATTGAAAAGCGAAATCTTATGGCCACAAAATTCTGTAAAGATATATGTTTGATGCAATCCGTTTGAATTTGAAAGCTAGCTGTTTCTATTATGGCTTAATTACCCTTTTTTTTTTTTGGGTGCGTGTGTGTGCTTACCTCATTTATTTGAATATCCAGATGTTCTGCCTTTTTGTGCTTTGAGACAGGAGCAGGACATGATACTATGTATTTATTGTGATTTTTATTTTATTTTATTTATTTTTATTTCCTTGTATTTACGTCCTTTCTCTTGTATTCTATGATGAACAGATTTGACAAGATCATCAATAAGGAAATTCCTTCTACTGTGGTTTATGAGGATGATAAGGTGCTGTCTGATGCTTGATGGAGTCTCCCAACATACCTTTATTATAGCGTTGTGCCTTTTTTTCCTCTCCTTGTTTGAGGATGTGACTGTAATTACAGATATAGGGTATTATACATTAAATAATGTTTCAAATGCCACACCTACTAGAAATGATAACATAGAGAAGTTTGCTATCCAAAGTTAAAACAGTACAGAAAAGATCTAAAAATGTGTATTGTAGTTCATTTGTTGTCTTAAGAGGTGCTGTTCAGTTTTGTTTTCCACAGTTTTAATGAAAGTTCTGGCTCTTCTGCGTTGCTTCTGAAGTCTTCTTGTTAACATTTCTTTACTTTCTAGAGTCTATACTTGTTGATCAGGTGAACATGTTAAATGGTTCAATGAATTGACCACCTTCAAAAGAAACTAGTTTTAGTTTTCTTGCTGGATAGCACTTTCTTAGACATAGCTCAAGTTCAGAGGTGAAATAGGTTGCCAATCAATTTATATGATCCTGCTAATTAATGAATCTATATGGATATTCCAAATTCTTTATGTTAATCTTTGCTGGAGTGAGTTTTCTACTGCACTCGTATTCTAGTCTTGGTTACTGCTTGATTACTTTCTTTGACATAAGTAAAACTCGGCCAAACTCATATATAGTTAAAATGTTTGGAAATTAAATATGCTTTATAGATTTGATTTCTTGAGAATATTTTTTTTTGTTCTTTCTTATTGTTAGTGATGAGTTCATCTTGAAATATTATCCTACCCTCTTCTCTCTAGGTTTCCTTCTCCCTTGAAGAAATTAAATTACATGATAAGAACATTGTTTCCAATTACATATTTTCAGTCCTTGCCTGATTGTAGACATAATTGAACATTTTATTTCCTAATTTCTTTTGGAATAGAACTTTTATTTCTTATCTTGTTCTAAAGGAAACATGACCATATTTTGCACTGGAACCTCTGATATATGATATGATCTGAAGGTTGGTCTGAGGAAAACAATAATCACTAAATTGCCAAAAATAGATTTGAGGAAATTCTTCTAATTGCACCTTCTGCGAAATGTTAAGAAATTTCTTAGAAGCAAGTCATCATTAGCTTTTATCTGGTGAAGCTATGCTATTTGATTTAATGGTGTGTCATAGGAATTGATAATCCTTTCATTTTTGTGTTTGACAGGTTCTTGCCTTTAGGGACATAGCTCCTCAAGCTCCTACCCATATTCTAATCATTCCTAAAGTTAGGGATGGGTTAACTGGTCTATCCAAGGTATTTGTTAAAGGCTTTTCTGCGTCAGTAGGCACATTATGTTATCTCAGATGTTCATTTGGAAACAAGCACCACATATATACATGTGTTCAGTATAGTTAATACATTAATTTATTATATAAAGTAAAAAGTTCTTTTTTTAAAAATAAAAATCATTAAAAAATAACATTAAGAAATTTACATTAGTAATGGATTTTCTTAAGTATCAGCATGCTGATAGCAGAAATTGTGCAACTTATATACTCATTTAGTAAATGATTTTGTTTTGAAGTTATTATTTGTGGAATCTATGACTCTGGAAGAATTATTTAATTGAATCCCTGTAATTTACCATCCATGTGCTAGATAAAACCGCTATTGTCTATAATCTTATAGTTATGAAATGGGCTGCATATTTTAGGATCCATACTTAGCTGTGTGGATGTGCTAAATTTAGGCAGGGTTGTGGTTAATTTGAATTGCTTTGTAAATATACTGCATATGATTATTCTTTTAAATTGCTTATGCTGATTCTGAATCTTTGTTTGTGCCAGTTGATTACACATATCTGGTGATGGCATTTATTAGTTACACTTAGTCATAGGCAACTTCTTTTTCAATTGGCAAATCAAACTGCATGCATAAACTTTTCAACACCTTGGATCTCCACCTACATGTGTTATCATATACTGATTTAGTATGGTATTGTTTCCAGGCTGAGGAGAGGCACTGTGAGATTCTTGGCCACCTTCTGTACACAGCTAAGCTTGTTGCAAAGCAAGAAGGTCTTGATGATGGCTACAGGATTGTAATTAATGATGGGCCAAACGGATGTAAGTGTTCTTCTCCATGTCATTGCAGGAACTTTGACCAATCATATTGTATTTTGATTTGTAGGTTCTTGTGAGTGTTTGTTCTATATTTTTATTGAGATGAGGATTTGTTTTTTTTTGCAGGCCAATCAGTTTACCACATTCATGTGCACCTCATTGGGGGAAGACAGATGAACTGGCCCCCTGGCTAAAATGTGTTCAAAGGATTCATAGTGACTTATATGGGTTTTACAACCTCTGCAGTTAAAATATTCTGCTTAATGCTATCAATCAATAATGGTTTCAAATGACTTAGAAGTGGCTACATGTTACACTAAGAAACTATGATGATGAGTTAGATGACCTATATTAATTATGTTTAACCTGGTATGTTGAATATATGCTAAAACTAAATTATGAAGTCGTATCTGGATTAGTGTTGTTGATGTTATTGCCTATGCTACGTTATAACAACATTAGTGTCAAGTTTGTCGTGTATGTGAAAAATGCTGGATACTGCCGTGCTCGTTTTGAGAATTGAGGAGTTGAGTTTTGGTAAAACTATTATTTTATTATTTTTTAAGAAATTAAAATAATCAAGTCATATGATTTTTATAATAAAAGATATTAATCAAAAGTTGAGACTTAATACAACTAATATAGAGATTAATGGTCAAGATTATTAATCGTTAGTGAGTTAACATCATCCTAACTAATTTCAGATAATGGTGATGTGGATATTGTAGTGACTTAACACATACAATTTATTATAATTATAGTTGGAGTTAAAAAAGTAATTGAGAAAAAGTTAAAAGTTGAAAATGTCTGTGTAGAAGACATAAAATTTAGGGTGATTCTATGTTATTTATTTATGGGAAAAACTACTCTTATGTTACATGTGATAAGTTTCTCTCCTATACATCTTTCGATAACTGTGCCATCTTTTTCTTTTCTTTTCTTTTTTATTTTTCAAGTGGTGGAACTCACAAGTTTATCTCTATGACATAAGATAAGTTATCTCCTTTAACATGAGATTAATAAAATCCTTTATTTATTACGGTCAAGTAAGCAACTCTATCTTTCATTTGATTGTTGGCAGTGAAATCTTTTATATATATATATATATATATATATATATATATATATATATATATAGCAACCTTTGATACCAGTGTCAAATTTAAAATTAAATTTGACACCTCAGCTGAGAGCCGTTAGATCAAAAAAGATCAATGACTCTGATTTGTAAGCATGTGACACCATTGATCTTTTTTGATCTAACAGTTATCAGATGAGGTGTCAAATTTTAAATTTGACACTGGTGTTAAAGGATATATATATATATATATATATATATATATATATATATATATATATATATATGGGTCAGGATCATTTTACACTAGTATAAGTTACATTCTCAATCTTGACCATTGATTTCACTTATATCTAAGGGCTCTAATATTTTAGTTATGTGAGCCATTGGATATAAGGATACAAGTGGATCAATGATCAAGATTGAGTGTAAGACTTCTAATTCTTACACCGGTGTAAGAATATCATGTCCCTATATATATATATTATCATTTATTTGAATTAATAATTAATTAATTGTTATAACTTATTAAATTATAACCGTTAGATGAACATAAATCAAAGGTTGGGATGAGGAGTAAGACTTTTGGAGTCAAAAGATCCCTTTCCATATATATATGTATGAGATAGGATATTCTTACACCAGTATAAGAGTTAGAAGTCTTACACTCAATCTTAACCATTGATCAACTTGTATCCAATAGCTCACATTACTAAAAAAATTTGAGCCCTTAGATATAAGTAGGATCAACGGACAAGATTGAGAGTGTAACTTACACTGGTGTAAAATGATCCTGACCCTATATATATAGGATGTATGGTTATTATTTCTGCAACTGCTTTACGTACAACAACGACAGATGTATGGTTATTGATAGGACCAAATACAGTATGGACAGACCAAGGTGTATTGGGCCTAATCACAAACGGTTGATATGAGGACGTGGATCTGCTTCTAGGGCTGGAGGATGTTGATGATGTTGTGGAGCCTCTAATCCTTTGTTGGCGCAATGGCTGACACTGAATGGGGTACCTGCGATGACGCTCCGATGCCTAAGTCAGTATCGGTCACAGGTGTTGTGTATTCTTAATGAATTAGATAATCATACCTGGGTATGTACCCTCTGTTTATATAGTGGTTATGATGCCGCCTTCAGAAGACGGTGTGGCCTCTGAATGGCCGTTTATGGGCTGCAAGTTTTGCTAGAGCCTCAGGATTTTTTTTCCTTTTTTATTGAGAATTGAGTAGTTGAGTTTTGGTAAAACTATTATTTTATTTTAAGAAATTAAAATAATCAGTTCATATGATTTTTATAATAAAAAATATTAATCAAAAGTTGAGACTTAATACAACTAATATAGAGATTAATGGTCAAATCGTTAGTGAGTTAACATCATCCTAACTAATTTCAGATAATGGTGATGTGGATATTGTAGTGACTTAACACATACAATATTTTAAAACCTTGCCCAACCAAGTCCAATGGTAGATAATACTTTAAAACTTATTTCAAAAAATAAAAACAAGTGATAAATTACAATATTTTTCAACTCCAATTAATATATTGCGTGTAGAAGTTAATTGAGAAAAATTAATTGAGAAAAAGTTAAAGTTGAAAATATCTGTGTAGAAGACATAAAATTTTGGGCGATTCTATGTTATTTATTTATGGGTAAAATGTATCTGGAGATAAATTATCTGCAATGACCCATAAAACTATATTGTTTTGAATTAATGAAGGGTATTTATATAATTTTGTTTATTTTTTAGGATTCACTTTTTCTGCAGTAAGTCCAATACGACGTCGTTTTAGGACGGAAATCATAGTGATTTTATAATTTTAATTTATTTCAGGGTTATTATAGTCTTTATATTTATAATTTTTTAATTTTTCAATCTCAAAACGACGTCGTTTTGGAAGTAAATTCAGATAACTTATCTGTAGTAATTGCAGAAATATTTTTCTATATTTTTTATCATATAAATTTTACCAAAACATCATTTATTAATTTAAAACGATATAATTTTAAGAGTCATTGAAAATAAATTATCTCAAGAAATACTTTCATTTATTTATTACAGTCAAGTAAGCAACTCTATCTTTCATTTGTGGCCCCCTTTACTTTTCAGTCAAAGGTTATTTGTCTCTCAACCTTTAAAAAAACAGGTTATTTATGAGGTTTGCAGTTTATAAAGGAACATTTAAGAATTATGATTTTGAGTTTAAAATATTGTATGGACTTACACACTTATAAAATCTTTGCTAAATGAATCAATTATATTATTTTTATCTGATTGTTTCATAAGCTTTTTAGACACTATTTGTTTGTACTTAACATATATTGTCAATTTTTTTTTCAGGATTATATTATTAAACCTCAAAAATGTTGACGATAATAATTCTTTCATTTGATTGTTGGCAGTGAAATCTTATATATATATATATATATATATATATATATATATATATATATATATATATATATCAACCAAAATAGAGATCTTTTAGTTGCTATTACGTTCGTTATAAAGACCACTCCTTTGAAGGGAAAGTAGCTGTGCTTGTAATCATCGGCAGAAGTGCAAAACCACACGTAATGTACAATAGCATAAGCTTTTTCTAAAATTGGAGAAAAAAGATTTAAGAAATAAAAAATATAGGAATCTCGTTATTCTTATCTATGTATGTATTCAGCACTTCTAGTCTTTGCTATTATGGTTTAGGTTAGAATTTTTAGTTCCAGTAACGTACTTTTCTATTTTTGTGTTTGGGGTAATCGTTCAGTAATGTATTTTTAATAAAATTTTCAAGTGTTATAATTATTTTTTAGTTTAGTATTTCTGTTTTTAGTTTAATGTTTCTGCTTTTGATGCAGAAAATATTTATCATCCGTATTTATATAAAATTAACTAAATTTTATTAATTTTTTTTTTTTCACTTTACATTAAGACTCATTCACTTTTATGTTAATGTATCAGAAAAATATTTTCTGCAGTAAAAATAAAAAAAGAATTCCCTTCATTTTTATGTAATAAAATAAAGCATAACTTTTAAAAATAAGATAAATTTTCATTGGGCTCCCTTTACATGACTTTGGGCCCGTTTGAATAAATTTTTTTAAAAGTAACTTTTTATGACTTATATTTTTGAGAATGAAATTTTTTTAAAAGTTAAAGTTATTCCCTTTTAGGGTTTGGTGTTTCTCGTGTTAAATGACAAAAGTTATATCATTTTAGGAGAGAGATAAATACAAAAAATGAAAATCATGAGAGAGAGAAAGTGAGTAATTTTTTTTAATTTAAAATTTAAATAAAAAATTTATTATGTGTTTATCTTTATCTTAAAATGACATAACTTTATGTCATTTAAAATGACAAATACTTTTTCCTTTTATATATGAATGAACCATATAAAAAGTATTTTTAAATAAAAAAATTATTTGAATATTAAAATTAATAAATACTTTTTATATATAAAATTACTGAATATATGGCGTAGTAGGGTGGAGTGGTTGGAGTCGGATTTAAGTAAAATTGTATTTTTTTAAAAAAAATATTTAACTTTTAATTTTTGCTTTTTTAAGAACGAATCCTAATTTTTTTTAAAAGCACTATTTTAGCTTTTTTTAAAAAATTTTTTCTAAAAATTGTTATCCATACACATAAAATTCTTCAAATAGGAAAAAAAAAATCACCCAAACGCACACTTTATCATTTTTAGTATTTTTTAATTTTTTTAAAATTATAAAAATTAATCATTTTAAATTTCTTTTTTTATATATTATGTTTCAAATCTCAACTGCTTACTCTTTTAATTTTTTATAAATCCACTCCTATATATTAAATTAGAATACACTATTAGAATAAATTAATCTTTTAGTAAGCATTTCTTAAAGAGCACATGCTATTTTCAACTTTTTTTTTTCTTCTTTTAAATTTTGTATTGTTTAGAGTTAAATTATCTTCTTTACAGGTGGGCTGTGGGGCCGAGGGAGTAGAGAGCAACAAGTGAACTGTGAACCCATATATTATGCCATAATTAGCCCAGCAAACAGATGTTGAAAAAAGGGATGAAAATACCCAAAAAGGCAACAACCCCCAACCAACTTTTGTAGCTCCTTAGCCTAATCTATTCTGTAGTAATAAAAATGGGAAGTCTCATCAATTTCTAGACTTATATAAACCAATGCAATTGCTCACTGGTTCGTTAGGTTA